GCCTCCCCTGCACTCTGGTGACATACCTGGACTCCAAGCCCTGCGTGTGTGGGTGGGTGTGGTAGAGCGGGAATAGGGAGGCAGCTGAGGATGGAGAGGGAAGAAAGGGAGGGGCAAGTGGCACCTCCCTGGGGCCAGCTCCCCCGCTGCACTGGGGCTGAGCCCCCCTGCACCCACCCGCCCACAGCTCCGGCGACATTGTCATTGTTTTAATGACATTTTTATTGATATTAACTTTGTCAGGTCGTAAAATGATTGTGATCTAAAACTCAGACATCTGGCATGGACTTAGTGGCTTTAAAACCAACAAACTCACAGCCAAACCTTGTATTCAAAATTCTGTTTAACCTAAAACTAACACGACGGCACCACTTCTCAACAATAAACTAGAAGCAACCTAATCGCAAACCTCTTTCACCTGTTTGCTCAGTGTTGTACAACTTATACTGTAGTAATACAACTTGTGTAGCAAATATAAACTAACATTTGGCTCCATAGACACTGTGGATCAGCTCGAGATGAATGGTTCACACTGATAGTGTAATCATAAGTTTGCCTATTTTGTAAGGCCTCTTATTGATACTCATGAAACTGATGAAGCACCTCTGCTGGCCCACACCCCCAAATGGCACAGAGCTGCAAAAAGAATATCCTGCTGCAGAGATCAAACACTAGAACCTCTTCGCATTCCATTTTAAAGACTTTTATTTTGAAATCCTCACACTGATAATTGTTGTTCAGTTATTAGTGCCAAAACTTCAAACGATAGCCTTGTGTTCACCTTGAGTGAATTAGTGATCAGACACATCCCTGCAAGAGTTTATATTTCATCATATCTGCACACCACACATGCGCTGCACAGTAATCAAACAGATGGGGGTACGGTTTTAGTAATAGCAACAACACGTAGCCCAGTACACAAATCACATCTCCCACTAGCTCGTAAAAGACCATCATTAGTACAGTGTTTATATGTGTGTGCGGTGCCTAATAAGCCTTAAAAGTGCCTGATTGGGATTACGAGTTACAATATTACTCAAATGGTTATCACAGACAAATGACTGCTGTAAAGTTACGAACAACCCCGTCACAGATAAAGCAGTCAAGGCTGCCCTTAACACTATACCCTGTGTCAGAACTATTATGGTAACAGTTATATAAAAGCTTAAGCAATGAGGGTAATTTGGGGCTCTGTAGTGCCCCAGTCCATCTGCAGTGCAACACAACACCATACACTCACTCATGCCCTTGCCCACAACTACACAGCGTTTTCATGTTGTTGCCAGGCAGGCTAGAATTTATACTGAGGCTGTGGCCCACGGCCATAGTTGGAGTCATTTGGGTTAAGTGCCTTTTCTTCAGGGAAGAACAGTGTTATCGAGTAGCTGCCGGCACGTGTGTGTGTTTCTCTCTCTCTCTCTCTCTCTCGCACACACACACACACACATACTCTATCTATCTATTTATCTTTCTATCTATCTTAGCCTCAGGGTCTTGGAGGTAAATTTCAGTGACTGGCCGCTCCTTCTGATCTTGGAATGCATGACATATGGTAGCGACTGCCTGAGGGGTGACTTAATGAACTGTATTTGTGGATTCCCAGGGCAATGGCAGTATAACACAGGTTGTGTGTGTGAAAATCTAGCTCGCGTTAGTCACATTCTACATTACACTTCAACCCAGACTATAAAACATGTTCATACATATTTCTTGAAAGGTACTGATATACAATTCCTTGCCATTTAGAGCTTCTATACCCAGCCTTTA